ACCCACAACCAATGCGCGACCCGTGCCTTGACCTGGAAGGACTTGCCCATGTGGCAACTTTCCATTACGCCACGTGGTCACCAACAACGCGACACATCCCTCGGCTTGGGCTTGGGATTACGTTTTTTTTTGTCCAATTTCTACCGTTCTTACCCTCCCAAACCTATTTTCGACCTTAAATAAGGTAATCGAAGTCATTTGAACGCCCATATTTCACAAGTTTAAGGTAAAATTATTGTTATTTTATAAAATACTAACGAAAGTGACGAACGATCTAATAGTAAAGAATAACTTTAGGTGTCAAAAGATCTAATAAACTAAATTATTATTAGAATTATCTTTCTTCAAATTATTGAAAAAAAATAGGATAACTAAATTTCAATCAATCTAATTTTATGCCTTACTCGTACAAGGTTGATCAAGAAGCTACTCCTAAGATTAATAGTTCCACCAATTTACCACTCCGACCTATCCATGAATATTCCAAACATCTTAATATATTTTATAACATTATTTTCAATTTAGGTCGATCCAAAATTTTATCCGAGTTTAGTTCTATTGGTTCACAAATCTAACTCAGTTCAACCCAACCCCATGACAATTAACAGAATTAATTAAATAAAATAAATAAATAAAATCCCAACAGTTTACGTCAATTTTTTAGGTTTGAAATTTGGGATAAATGTTCGATTTGATTAAATTTATTAAGTTAATTAAAGTCTTAAGTTTCGACCCTCTTGATAAAATATTTATAAATTTACAATATTATAATTTTTTATGTAACACCAATGGTAATTATTTCTAATTTCTAAATATCTTAAACAAAATTTTCAATAAAATTAGCTTTTAAATAGTCTACCACCACTGTCTATTCCAGTTTAGGCATACCCGTTAACTCCTAAAACATCTTTGTTTGTAGTCTTTATTTAAAAAAAAAAAACACTTATTTTGCAAAATAAATAAATAAAAGTTTACTTATTTAGTTTGACTTATTGGATGTTGTCTACACATGGGAGTACCAAAAACAAAAAGGACAATTGAATGACCATTAACTTTTAAAACGACACCGTTTATAGTTCCTATTTTTTTAAAAAAAAAAAAACTTATTTTGCAGGTGAGAAAATAAATAAATAAAAGTTCACTTATTTATTTAGACCTTATTTGTAGACACATGGAGTACCAAAAGGGACAATTGAATGCGCATTAGCCCTAAAACGACTTCGTTTATACTTCTTCTTCTTCTTCTTCTTTTTTTTTTTTTTTTTTTTTTTTTTTTTTTTTTTTACAAAACACTTTTTTTGCAGGTNAGAAAATATATAAATAAAAAGTTCACTTTATTTATTTCATGTAATACATTATGATTGTTTGATATTCTTATAGTTCTTCTTCGAGATATTCTTACTCAGTTGTTTGATAGCAAACTAGTCCACACCTCATGGTTGTTTCTCAATATCTAATTGTTGATAATTCTCCTTTCTCTAATTCACTCTTTGGTTGGTTCACTTTAGTACTTGACTATTACGCGTCTAGATATTGCAAATGTTATCAATTCTATCAGTCAATTTTTCATGCCCGATGACTTTGTTGCTGTCAAGTGTATTCTTCGTTAATTAAGGGCACACTCCATTTTAACCTTACCTTTCGTCCATCCACTATTTCTAGTGTGTTAATGGCTTATTCAGATGTTGATTGGACTAATTATCTGGATACTCCTCGTTCTACATTCAGCTATTCTATTTATCTCGGTAACAATCTCATTTTTTAGAGTGCCAAGAAACAAACTACTATCTTACGCTCTAGCTGTGAATCTGAGTATCGTGCTCTTATCGTGACAACAAAATTGCTATTTTTTAAAGCTTCAATCCCGTTTCTTAAAAGCGGGCCAAACATGTGAATTAGATTATCACTTTCTTTAGAAACTTATGGTCGCTGGCAAACATTAGTTCGGACATATTTACAGAAGCATTAAAGTCAGATATCTTCCCATACACCTCGGTTATTTAATAAATAGTAGAATGAGTGTAAAATATTATATTTGAAAAGAAAAAAAAAAAAAAAAAAGTAAACTGAAAATTCAACAAAGTATGCTTCCCCTAGTATGTATATGAAATTGCAATATTCTGAGTTGAAATTGCAAAAATCTTTTTAGTCTAAATACCAAGTTGTATGAAGTTTGACCTTTAAACTTTCGTGCTATGATCCACCACTTGAACTGAGATTAGACTTTTTGTTTCCTTGCTGTCTTTGGAAGTTTGACCTATGAGGCTTGGATGTCGACAAACGTTACTGTCTTTCGATGTGTACCATATACTCTACCACACAACTAATATGTGAGTACGGACTCACTAGTCAGCTCGCATTCCACTAGGCTCCTTTCTTTGTTAGGTGAGCATGCGCTGATAGCTCGTTATGCCGGACACCCTTTTGAATTAGTAATCGTCACGACAGCATTATGTAAAACGTAATGATAGTTCTCCTGCCTATTGGTGTACGCGTCCGTATGCTCCTGATGGAATAAGGGTATCCCTAATGCATGAGCACACATAATGCACGAGGTTCTAATATTTTTCCATTTTCAACATTATTAAATATAACCTTTATAATTTTTCATTCATATCATATCATTTCTCGATTTTTTTTTTTTTTTTTCAGTTTTCATATCATATGCATACTTCTAATAGGGTTATACTTCATTTCATTTATTGTCATTTCATGTCATTCATATCATGATGTATACATACAATTTAAAAGACATAACATACCGTGTCATGCTTTTAGCATAGCATTTCATGACGTGCAATTCATACAATAATTGTCTTACCGGTCACGTAAAAAGATCTAAACATAACTTATTCCTAACATATCGGTTCACATTATGTCATATCATAAACGTATCAATAATCAAATATTTCGTACCATAACCTATATCATATCATCCTCATACCATTTTTCTACATATATATATATGTATTCGCTATTCCCATATCCATTCATAATCATATCAAAACACTCTGTGGTCATAGCGTTCCCTAATTTATCATAGCCTTAACATTTTTATACATATCACAGTTATATCGTTACATGAACGTACCTTAGCCATATCATTACAGGGATGTATCCTAACACTATTGTTCTATCAATCTATCATAATCCTATCCCTTTCTACTCATTACCTAACCATATTCTTTTATCAATCCATCATAACCGTATCGTTTTCTATACATAACTTAAGCTATTCTTTTATCAATCCATCATAACCGTATCGTTTTCTATACATAACTTAAGCGTATCGTTAATATTAATTATTCTTTAAGTATAGTGTTTTCTATACATAATCTTATTGTATCGTTTTATCAATCTCTCGTATCCCTAGCACTTCAATACATAACCTAACCTTAACGTTTCATGAGCATATCTTACTCCTATCGTTACTTAATGTTTAGTGCATCATTCTCATATCCTATTTCAAACATATCATTGAACACATCGTACCGTAAGTATTAGCATACAATTCACATATCATAACATATACATATCGTTCCATAAAAAATTCATACATATCAATATATATGACACGTGCAAAACTACGGGGCACGTGTCAACATCAAATATAATTATGTTGATAATAACGCCACTTAACTGATTAGCTTAGGTTGGTGTCACTACTTAACTTCTTGCAACAACATATCAACGCTCACTGTAGTGTCACATGATGTTAATAGAAGCCTAAAATATATATTCAACCTTTTGAAACATTAAACAATCCATTCAACACAAAATCAATTTAGGGGGAATGAAAGAATGAAAGTAAATTTGTGTTTAAACCCTTCAAAAAAAATATTTATGAAAGATCTGGCTTATTTATTTATATTATTCAACCGATCGACTAATTTGATCGTATCTAAATTAACCGTTATTAACCGTTCAAAAACATTTAGTTTTTATAATCATATGGAAAGGAAACATGTTCCAAACTTTTTATTAAATTTGGAACTAAAATAATCAAATAATGGAATGAATTGGAGGAGAGAGTAAAAAAAGTCCCATGTCCACATTTGTTTAAGAGAAGAGAGAAAGTGATTGCAACAGGGCTGTCCTCCTTCACTCTCTCAGCTATATAATCCATCACACGCCCAAATGTTCCCCCAATCGAATAGATTAAGGTTTCCAACTGGCATGCCCATGGACAGGAATTTTGAGGCGTTGAGTGCTGCTGCTAATGATGAAGAAGCAAGGGTTTGTGAGTTGGAGAGTAAAGCCCACAACATTGCTTTGGGGTATATCATATGGGAGAGGTGCTTTTTCTTTGCTGTCTCTCACAATTCTTCCTCCCACAACTGTGTTCCTTTGTGGATGGTTGTGGGCTTGAGTCTTTCTTGTTCCGCTCTCTTACCTTTTGATGTTGTTGGAGAATGTGAGTATGATGCTCCGCTCTCTCAACGCGCTCAACATGATTTTGAGGGAACGCGCTCTTATCTTGGAGGCCAGAAATGAAGAAGATGGTGGGTTGGAGCTCAATTACGGTTTCCAGGTGAGGGAACTCAACAATGGGAGGTTCAGAATTGCGGAGAGGAAAGTTTACACATGCGCCATTGCGTGTGCTTTGGTTGCTGTGACTGCTTTCGAAGTGTGCGCATGTAACTACTCGGTGTGGCTATGTTAATGAAGGAGTGATTGGGACGATGGACGTGGTAGACGTATCTCATAGTTTGTTTGTTTCTGTTTCTATGCCTTTGCGTATGATTAAAAGTTATTGACGTTACATGAATCGTTAAAAGGGTTTTGTTTTAATAAATATTTATAATATCAATTAATCTCTAATTATTAGTTTAGTCTCTACTGTTTATATAGCTCAAAGGATAAAGAAAGCCCCTAGAAAACGACCCTACTTCTAAACTAATAAACTAAGCAAGTGAGAAAGAACAACCCTTCTTGACCATTTGATAAGAAATGAAAAACCCTTTTTTAAAATACTTCAAATCCAAGGGTGACAGTGAAAAAGTATAATAAAATACTTAAACTTTACAACATTCAAACATATGCATGCAATTTAAAATTTAATTATATAGTAATGAAAGTTCTTCTTTTACGGAGAGATGAGAAAGAGATCACTAAAATACATTGGTACGATATCAAACGATTTAAAATACATGAAATGCAGGATTAAAAGGCAAAGCACAAAGAAGACTACAAACTCAAATGTGACGGCATTCTCTATAGCCAACAACCCACGTGTGCCTTTGCCTCGACTGCTACATCAAACTCCACTTGAAAAGAAAGTTGTAGCAGGAATGAGTATATGAAATATACTTAGTAAGCAGCTTGCTGGTAGTTCGTATTTCTTAGTTATGTCTTATTGATCTTGTTCATCTTTGGTATCCTATTCTCTTTTGGGGATTTGTCCCCCTCGTATAGGCTCTGTCTATACCATACCCTAAATTTTTTCATTCTAGTTTCTCTTGGTTCATGGTCCTACTGGATCTCCAGCCCTCGAAATACTCTTACATTCTCTAGGTCACTAGGCTAATTGGCTCTATTACTCTCTCTTCTTCATCATCAAATCTCAAGGACCTCGAGGCGCGACCTCGATACTCAAAGTTCATGCATTTTAGGAATCGACCAACTCTCAAGTGTACCACTGTAGACCCCGTCACTCGTGACAGGTTCACTTATAAGAAACTAACTGGCAAGCTTCCTATAAGTCCCTGCAAAGTAGCATCAACAATAAAATGACCAGTTCTATAGTTACGCAGACCTATGACAATTGAGTCAAGTTCACGATTAGAGGTTAGTTGGTGAACCCCTAATCGTCCGTGGATAGCCGTTAACTCATATGCATGAACAATAAATCTCGACCAACTCTAATGTACCAATGTGGACCCCTATCACTCGTGACAGGTTCACTAATAGGAAATTAACCGGCAAACTTCCCACAAGTCCCTACAAGGTACCCTCCTCAAGAATAAAATGGCCAGTTCTATAGTTACACGGACCCCTTAACAATCGAGTCAGGTTTACAATTAGAGGTTAGTTGGCGAACCCCTAATCGTCCTCGGATGACTGCTAACTCATAGGCATGAGCAATAAATCTCGACCAACTCTAATGTACCAATGTGGACCCCTGTCAGTCGTGACAGGTTCACTAATAGGAAGTTAACTGGCAAACTTCCCACAAATCCCCACAAGGTACCATCAACAATAAAATGACCAGTTCTATGGTTACGCGAACCCCTGACAATCGAGTCAGGTTTACGGTTAGGGGTTAGTTGGCAAACCCCTAATCGTCCCCAGATAACTGCAAATACTATAACATGCGTGACAGAGCCATAACTTAATGATCTAATCATGGAGAGCTAGTCATGAATCTTAGTTCATAAGGTAGTTGCATACGCATTTCAGTAAGGTTTCAGCAAACATACATAAACACATTTAACATGTGTCATCTCAACTCATTCTATGCTCAAACTTCTAAAACATACTTCTTATACCCTAATTTCATGCCTACTATGAGCAAAGTTAAATCCAAGGTTTGGAATAGCCACCTACTTGAAAAGCGTGACACTTTCTGTTCGGATTTGCATCTCCAAAGGGTTCCAAAATTTGTCAAAATCCTTGATAATTCCTCTACATGCAAAATGAGGAATATCATGAAAATGGTGCCAAGATTGGAGTTAAAGCAGGTGAATTAAATCGAAAGGGCCAAACCGACCCAATTAAGTCGGGTCGGGTCGGGTGGACCCCTGCTTGGGTCAGGCCGGCTGCTTCCCAATTCGCATGCCCATCACGCAGGCCCGCGCTGGGCCACGCGAGGCGAAGGCCTGCGCAAGACATGGAACCCTCATTATCCCCCGACCCCCTCCTTTTTCTTTCACTCACCTCTACATGCTCGTCGTCGGCTCGCCCTCTGATTCGTTTTCCACGCTCACAATCCTCCTCAAATCTCGCAGATCACCCTCCCGCAAACATATAGCAACTGAAATCAGGCCAGATGAATGTAACGGTAGAAGCTCTCAAGAACGCATGAACGTACCTTGACGTTAGATAAAAGTTTGTTGGTTTCCTGATTTAGGTTTACACGTTTGATTAAATATTTTTCTTTGACCATTTGACAAACACGTTGAATGGATTGCAAATTTTGTAGGTGACCATTTCAAAATAAATGGATTGCAAATTTTGTAGGCGGCCATTTCAAAAGAAATGGCACAGATTTAGTTGGCCACTCTCAGACATTTTTAGATAGTTAATTGTTTAAATAAGTGAATTTGTTGATAAGGAAAAATCACCTTCTTTTTGGCAAATCAAATTGCAATTAGCTCTCCCTCTCTCTGTCATTTTTACGCGTTTTATTATCTTCCAAAAACTTTCCTCTCTCTTCCCGTCAAAGATTTCCTCTCACACCAGAAAAGGATTTCCCTCCGATCGTCGAAAAAACAATGAGTGGTATCAGAGCCCGATTGAAGCCATCGGTGGTATATCAACGGAAGAGCCAACCTTATCAAAAGTCAAGTTGAATAGCTTAAGTGGTTAGAGCATCGACCTAATAACACACAGGTCTTAGGCTTGAGTAGAAGAAAATACAAAGCGCGAAAATACACACATCATTGGGGGTCCATCCCGAGCAGGCTTGCTCACTCCTCCGCAAATCACCTGGGAGGGAATCAAATCCCGTCGGGTTGGTGTGGGAAGAGGGCTTGATTCCCGTCGGGTTGGTGTGGGAAGAGGGCCAATCCAGTGCTCGTACTGTGTGGGGAAGAGAGCTGGCATACTTCCAATTCCAAATCCACAGAGGTAATCGACGACGACATAACTGCTTCGGTGAGCGTCGAACCCGAGAAAGAGCTCCAGCTTTGCATAACAAAGGCACCGACTGAGGAGCCAATTCAATTGGAGGAGGAGACTTACACATTTACTTAGTTTGACCACAAGTTTTAGGAGGAGAATGTTAGATAAAAGGAGCGCGAGTGCAAGACCACAAGTTTTAGGAGGAGAATGTTAGATAAAAGGAGCGCGAGTGCGAGACCACAAGTTTTAGGAGGAGAATGTTAGATAAAAGGAGCGCGAGTGCGAGTGTTCGCTCAAACCCGTCGGGTTGGTGTGGGAAGAGGGCTTGATTCCCGTCGGGTTGGTGTGGGAAGAGGGTCAATCCAATGCTCGTACTGTGTGGGGAAGAGAGCTCACCTGAGCAAAGATTGCCGATAGCTGACAACAACAAGCTCAGGAACAATGAGACGGCCGGTTCTTTTTATGGTGACTGGCATACTTCCAATTCCAAATCCACAGAGGTAATCGACGACGACATAACTGCTTCGGTGAGCGTCGAACCCGAGAAAGAGCTCCAGCTTTGCATAACAAAGGCACCGACTGAGGAGCCAATTCAATTGGAGGAGGAGACTTACACATTTACTTAGTTTGACCACAAGTTTTAGGAGGAGAATGTTAGATAAAAGGAGCGCGAGTGCAAGACCACAAGTTTTAGGAGGAGAATGTTAGATAAAAGGAGCGCGAGTGCGAGACCACAAGTTTTAGGAGGAGAATGTTAGATAAAAGGAGCGCGAGTGCGAGTGTTCGCTCAAACCCGTCGGGTTGGTGTGGGAAGAGGGCTTGATTCCCGTCGGGTTGGTGTGGGAAGAGGGTCAATCCAATGCTCGTACTGTGTGGGGAAGAGAGCTCACCTGAGCAAAGATTGCCGATAGCTGACAACAACAAGCTCAGGAACAATGAGACGGCCGGTTCTTTTTATGGTGACTGGCATACTTCCAATTCCAAATCCACAGAGGTAATCGACGACGACATAACTGCTTCGGTGAGCGTCGAACCCGAGAAAGAGCTCCAGCTTTGCATAACAAAGGCACCGACTGACTGGGGAGCCAATGAGCGTCGAACCCGAGAAAGAGCTCCAGCTTTGCATAACAAAGGCACCGACTGACTGGGGAGCCAATTCAATTGGAGGAGGAGACTTACACGTTTACTTAGTTTGACCACAAGTTTTAGGAGGAGAATGTTAGATAAAAGGAGCGCGAGTGCGAGACCACAAGTTTTAGGAGGAGAATGTTAGATAAAAGGAGCGCGAGTGCGAGTGTTCGCTCAAATCGGTGAAAGAGGCTTACACGTTTACTTAGTTTGACCACAGGTTTTAGGAGGAGAATGTTAGATAAAAGCATGTTGGTTTCCTGATTTACGTTTACACGTTTGATTAAATATTTTCCTTTGACCATTTGACAAACATGACGGATGGGGCAAGCACCACAAGTTGACCGGCGTCTACTTCATCCCGAGGTACCGGAGGTGGAGCTCTTACACGTTTAATTAGTTTGACCACAAGTTTTAGGAGGAGAATGTTAGATAATAAAAGCATGTTGGTTTCCTGATTTAGGTTTACACGTTTGATTAAATATTTTGATTTAGGTTTACACGTTTGATTAAATATTTTCCTTTGACCATTTGACAAACATGACGGATGGGGCAAGCACCACAAGCTGACCGGCGTCTACTTCATCCCGAGGTACCGGAGGTGGAGCTCTTACACGTTTAATTAGTTTGACCACAGGTTTTAGGAGGAGAATGTTAGATAAAAGCATGTTGGTTTCCTCATTTAGGTTGGGCAAGCACCACAAGCTGACTGGCGTCTACTTCCTCCCGAGGTACCGGAGGTGGAGCTCTTACACGTTCAATTAGTTTGACCACAGGTTTTAGGAGGAGAATGTTAGATCATGTTGGTTTCCTGATTTAGGTTTACACGTTTGATTAAATATTTTCCTTTGACCATTTGACAAACATGACGGATGGATTGCAAAAGAAATGCACAGATTTAGTCGGTCACTCTCCAACATTTTTAGGACAGTTAATTGTTTAAATAAGTGAATCGGTTGACATTGGAAAATCACCTCCTTTTTTAGCAAATCAAATTGCAATTGTTTTATTTTCTTCCAGCGACTTTCCTCTCTCTTCCCGTAAAAGATTTCCTCTCACACACCAGACAAGGATTTTCCTCCGATCGTCGAAAAACAACAGGCGTTCTCCCTTCGTTCGACTTTCCTCTACAGTTTGTATCCATCCGAAGTCGACTGCCGAACACCCGTGGATCTAGAGCTCAAGTTTCTCCGGCGAGCGTGGGTTTCAGTCTCCTTCCGACAAAGTTCTAGTCCTTTCTTCCTCAAACGACAAGCCACCTTCTATTCCCGCGGGTCTCAGATGAGGGATGGGATGTTGGGAGTCGGCTGTCATTTCCTTTTTTTTTTTTTTTTTTTTTTTTTTTTTTTTTTTTTTTTTTTTTTTTTTTTTTTTTTT